ATCTAAGACTAAATTATCAATCCGTAAGCTCCCTTTAGAATTTTATAAATTTTAGATTTTACATTTCTGAGTTATGGGGTTTTATTGGGATTTTCCAGTTTTTGTCGAGCCTGCGACTTTTGTCGCAGAAAGCTCGACATAGGGATAGTGATGTGGCGGCGGCGGCGTTAGCAAACTTCTTAAAAGCTTTATATTTTAGAAGGTGGAAGACCTGGATGCTTCATACTTTGTATATGGATGCCTCATGTTACGAAGTTTCCGTCAGCCACATGTCCAATGTCCTTGACCTCATTTTCATGGTTCAGTGACTACTTGAAAAAAAGCTAACATTTTTTGTAATGTTAAATTCTCTCTTATTATAAGTAGTATGATAACTATGTTTGGTATGTGCGTACCTTGCAAGGTCCTCATGCCCGTCAGACAGTTTTCACTTGACCTCAACCTCATTTCATGGATCAGTGAACAAGGTTAAGTTTTGGTGGTCAAGTCCATATCTCAGATACTATAAGCAATAGGTCAAGTATATTCGGTGTATGGAAGGACTGTAAGGTGTACATGTCCAACTGGCAGGTGTCATCTGACCTTGACCTCATTTTCATGGTTCAGTGGTTATAGTTAAGTTTTTGTGTTTTGGTCTGTTTTTCTTATACTGTATGCAATAGGTCTACTATATTTGGTGTATGGAATGATTGTAAGATGTACATGTCTAGCTGGCAGGTGTCATTTGACCTTGACCTCATTTTCATGGTTCAGTGGTCAAAGTTAAGATTTTGAGTTTTGGTCTTTTTTTCTAATACTATATGCAATAGGTCAACTATATTTGGTGTATGGAAATATTTTATGATCTTTATGTCAGTCGCGCAGGTTTTATTTGACCTTGACCTCATTTTCACAGTTCATTGCTCTGTTAAGTTTTTATACGCCCGTTTACGGGACGTATTATGGTATACCGTTGTCCATCTGTCCGTCCGTCGTCAACATGTCGGACATTAACTCAAAAATGCTTTTACCAATTTGCATAAAACTTTGGTGAATTGTTTATATTTATTGACGTGAGCTCCCTTTCATTTTTTAAAAAAATTAGATTTTACGTTTCTGAGTTATGGTGTTTTATTCATTAAAAAAAGGGGGATTTTCCAGTTTTCGGACAATAAGTCAAGAATGCTTTCACCAACTTGCAAGAAATTGTGGTGAATTGTTTATATCTATTGGCATGAGCTCCCTTTCGATTTTTATAAATTTTAGATTTTACGTTTCCGAGTTACAGGGTTTTATTCATAAAGAAAAAGGGGGGATTTTCCAGTTTTCTGACAAAAACTCTAAAATGCTTTCAGCAATTCTTATGAAACTTTGGTGAATTGTTCGTATGTATTGATGTAAGCTCCCTTTAGAATTTTATAAATTTTACATTTTACATTTCTGAGTTATGGGGTTTTATTCATTAAAAAAAGGGGTGATTTTCCAGTTTTCGAACAATAACTTAAATATGCTGTCACCAATTCTCATGAAACTTTTTTTAATTGTTTATATCTATTGTTGTAAGCTCCCTTTTTATTTTCATAAATTTCTAATATGACAGTGAGAATTAATTGAACTTTATTTGTTTATAGTCTGACAACAGGTTTACTAAGTATTGCACAACAGCAAGAAATCTTTAATTGCATATTCAATTCATATAACCAATTTCAAGATCTTTGACTACATTTATTCAGAAACCTATATGTCAAATATTTAATTACAATCCAAATTCAAACCTGAATCAAGCTTGAATATTGTGTCCATTTTTGCCCCAACTGTTCAGGGTTGGACCTCTGCGGGCGTATATAGTTGTGTTTTGGTCTGTTTTTCTTAAACTATAAGCAATAGGTCAACTATATTTGTTGTATGGAAGAATTGTTAGCTGTACATGCCTGCCTGGCATGGTTCATCTGACCTTGACCTCATTTTCATGGTTCATTGGTCAATGTTTAGTTTTCTTGGTTAATGTTAAGTTTATGTGACAGTTGTAATAAAGCTTTATATTAAGGACTATCAACATAATATCAGTGATTAGTAAAGAAGGCGAGATATTTCAGCGTGTGCACTGTTGTTGGACAACAACTCAAAAATGCTTTAAGCAGTTCGCATGAAACTTTGGTGAATTATTTATAGCTATTGATGTAATCTCCCTATAGATTTTCATAAATTTCATATATGACATTGAGAAGAAATTGAACTTTATTTGTTTATAGTCTGGCAACAGATTTATTAAGTATTGCGCAACAGCACAGTTCATTGCACAACAGCAAGAAATCTTTAATTGAATATAAATTCAATTCATATAACCGATTTCAAGTTCTTTGACTACATTTATTCAGAAACTATAAAATGACAAATATTTAATTACAATCCAAATTCAGACCTGTTTCAAGCTTTAATATTGTGTCCATTTTTGCCCCAACTGTTCAGGGTTGGACCTCTGCGGGTGTATCCAGCTGCGCTCAGTGAATCAGTTTATTTCTTAATTAAGAACTCCTTTTTTCATTCATAAATTACTTTAAACTTGGAAATATAATTTTGCTTGGAGTTATAGTTTCTAAAAAAGTATTGTCATTGAAAGAGTTGACATGTTGCAATGTACATTTATTCTACATAGTTCTATGGTACCAAATCAAAAGTTTATATAAAAGAAAGAAGTCAAAGGTTTCCCATCACAGTTTAGTTACATACATTTTTTTGTACCTGAGGTCGTTGAATATAGATCATTATATAAATAAGGAGATGTGTTATGATTGCCAATGAAACAACTATCATCCATACTTACCAGTAACAAACCACATTTGCAGAGTTGAATAAAATACAGTTGATAACATTTACTTATTACTGAAAAGAAAATGCCTAACTATTTTAAACAGTATTTGAATATCAATTATATGGTCATTTTTATAAACTTCCTGTTACAAAACTTTGAATTTTTCGAAAAACTAAGGATTTTCTTATCCAAGGAATAGATTACCTTAGCCGTATTTGGCACAATTTTTTGGAATTTTGGGTCCTCAATGCTCTTCAACTTTGTACTTGTTTGGCTTTATAACTATTTTGATCTGAGCGTCACTGATGAGTCTTGTGTAGACGAAACACGAGTCTGGCGTATTAAATTCTAATCCTGGTACCTTTGATAACTAATTTGACTATAAACATAGATAAAAAAGGTACAAACTGGACATAATGCACAAGTTCATAAACAAGTGAGAACAAACGCCTTCATATAGTGCTCAGAATATGACATTCATAAAACTTGTTCAATATCATTAGAGAACTCTAAATCTTAAATACTGAAAGCCACCTCTGATAAGTACACTGTACTATGCAAGATAATGATATAACTGGACTAAAAATACACACAACCTGTAATTAACTGCCTTTACAGCGCTTTCGCGCTTTGATTTGTCTTTGTGGTATGTACTTCCTACAGTTAAACAGGTAGTGTTGCATGTCGTCCACTACTAAACATGTGTCACACAGTTCACTATTACATTTACCCATTGTGTATTTGAATTTATTAGTGAATATATAACTTGATCTAAGTTTAGAGTTCTTTCTCTTTCTCTAGTACTCTTTGGTATAGTAATACAAAAGTTAACATTATTTTGAATAGTGTGTAGTTGTTTACTTTTTGTGTTATTTTCCCAGTATTGTTGCGACATTTTCTTTAGTAAATTTTTACATAAACATTTGATATCTTCTTTATAAAGCGGTATATTAGTTATACATGTCTCTATTGCTAGAGCCTTTTTAGCTGCTGTGTCTGCCATTTCATTACCACTTAAACCCACATGACTGGGTATCCATTCTAAAAGGATATTCAAACCTAATTTGGAAAGTTTACTATATATATATATATTGAATGTCATATATTATTTGTGTTTTAACTTTGAATATACTTCCTGTGATAGCTTTTAGTGCTGACAGTGAATCTACAAATATTACAGTATTTTCTGGTTGAAATTCTTCTAACCAATATAAAGATAAAAATATGGCTGTCAATTCACACATAAATATTGAAACATGGTTTTGCAATTTAAAACCTTTATTTACTTTAAGTTCTGGTACTACAAAAGCACATGCATTTGTGTTGTTTTCTGGATTCTTAGATCTATCTGTATATATTTTTAGAAAATTACTATAATTGTTATCAATGAGGATATTTCCTTCACTTTTAATGAGATGAGGACTATCCTTTTTAGTAATTATTTTTGTAAGTTCAGTTCTGACCTGTGGTTTTAGAACATGCCATGGTGGAGTTGGGAACTCTTTACATTTGTATACAGTATTAGTATCTACATTAAATTTATTCATAGTATCATGTGCAGTAACACAATATGGTTTTTGATTTTCCTTAATTTTTTCCTTATTAAATTCATATATAGCGTTTTTCTTGTTAACTCTTTTTAGTTGGGTTTGTGTCATTGAGACTAAATATATTCAAAAAAGACTTAGTAATAAGACTTTTTCTTCTCAACTCATATGGGGGGTCACCAATTTCAGTCTGTAATCCACTTATACTAGCAGTTTTATGAGCACCTGCACATATTCTTAATGCTTGGGCTTGTATACTATCTAGTTTTTTCTTGACAGAGTGGGAGGCTGAGTTATACACTTCACAGCCATAATCAATCTTTGACCTTATCATTGATATATATATTGTTCTCAGGGTAGAACAGTTTGCACCCCATTTGGTACCAGTTAATAATTTCATGCAGTTCAACACTCTTGAACATCTACTTTCTATATATTGTACATGTTTTAAACATGTTAGCTTTGAATCAAAAATCATACCTAGAAACTTGACTTCTTTAACAAATGACAATATGGTTTCACCAAGTTTAAGTTTAATACAAGGGGAACTACTCTTACTAAATATCATAGCTACAGTTTTTGTTTGTGATATGAGGAAACCCCATGTATCACACCAAGTACTAATTGTATCTATATCCTCTTGTATTTTTTTTTGTAGATATTAAGTGCTTTTACCAGATAACCATATGGCACTGTCATCAGCAAACTGTGACATAACACAGTACTTTAAATTATTGGATATATCATTCACCATGATGTGAAATAGTGTAGGACTTATACAACTACCCTGTGGTGTACCATTCTGAATTATAAATATTTCAGAGTAAGTATTATTAACTTTAACTTGTATTGTTCTGTCACTGAGAAAATCCTTTACCCATCCCAACATATTACCCCTTATACCTAGTGAAGCCATTTTTATTAATAACCCATTTTTCCAAAGCATATCAAATGCCTTTTGGAAGTCTATAAATACACCAACTGTGAAATGTTTTTTGAGAAATGCTTTGTGAATATCATTATCAATTCTAATTATCTGTTCCATAGTATTTCTATTTTTCCTAAATCCACTCTGATTTGGTGTGTAGAAATTATTTTTTTCTAGATACCACCGTAGTCTATTATTAACCATTTTCTCCATTTTTTTTATAAAATTAGATGTAAGGACTATTGGTCTATATGACTGTGGGTCTGTGGGGTTTTTTCCAGGTTTAAGTACTGGTGATATAATAGAATGTTTCCATTCACTTGGGAGTTTTTGTAAAAACCATATTCTATTAATAAAAAGTAATAACACAGACAGTGATTTGTCTGTAAATTGTTTAAACATAGAATATGTAATTCTATCTTTTCCAGGGGAGGTATCAGATGTATCACTGATAGCATCTTTTAATTCTTGTTTAGTATATGGTTCATTATAACTATCAGAGTTATCCTTATAATAGTGTAATAATTTACAGTACTCCTTTTGTTCTAAATCTTGTTTATGAATTTTAAATTTTTAAGAGTAATTATCATCACTACTGACTTGGGCATAATTTGTAGCAAGTATATCAGCTTTGTCTTGAGTACATTCATATTTGGTGTTGTTATATAACAGGGTTGGTAGATTTAATTTTTTAAATGTTTTACCCAACATTGATTTTACTTTTTTCCATACATCTGATAATTTAGTATCATTATTGAGCGAGTTACAGTAGCTCTCCCAATACATAGCTTGTGCAGCTTTAATAGTTTTTCTGCACGCTCTTTCTTTTTCTCTATATGTAGTGAAATCAGTACCAAGACCTGTATGTTGGGCACGATTTTTACAAATGTTCCTTTATTTTACATATTTAGTGCATTCAGGTGTCCACCATGGTACTTGTGGTTTTTTAGGTTTATTATTTTTTAATTTGACTGGGATGCACTCCCCAGCTATTTGGAGTATTTTGTTTGTTAGTCTTGAACATGTTTCTTCTATATTGTCAGAAATCATGTCAGGACTCAAATGTTCATTACATTTGCTGGAGAATGCCTCCCAGTCTGCTTTCTTATAATTATATACGGATTCAGTTTCATCAGTTTGCATTTGTTTATGACTAAAATTAATATTTACAACATGATGGTCACTGCCATAAGAACTAGTGAGGTCAACTGACCATGTTATTTTACTAGCTAGACTAGAACTACAAAAAGACAAATCAATAGGTGCCAGTTCTAATGTACTGGGATTACACCTTGTACCTGTACCATCATTAAGAAGTACTATATCTTTATACTCAAGGAAAGAGAACAACTCTCTTCCCTTAGTATCTATGTGTTTACCGCCCCACATAGTGTGGTGGGCATTAAAGTCTCCACATAATAAAAATTTTCCCTCTATTTGGTCAAATATATTGTTATATTGTGGTAATTTGGTATCTGATGCTGTGTCATAAAGATTGACCAGTGTAATATTATTATTGTCAAAATTAAATTTAATACATGATATTTCTAAATCACTATCAATATTATTTTTCAGATATGGGAGGTTTTCTCTGACATATATTGCTGTACCTCCATGTGATTTAGTATTACGTACAGAAAAATCAGCTAATTTGTAACCTATTACATGTGGATGGTCTTGTTCGTTTTTGCACCATGTTTCCTGGAAGCAAATTATATCAGGCTTTATTTGCGACATAGCTATATACTCTGCAGCATTATTGTGAATACCACGACAGTTCCAATGAACAATACTAAACATGATGTTGTATATTAGTAAACTAGTAAAATTAGCCATTATAAGCACAGATAGAACATATAACATTACTACTGTTACTATTTTATGATTTGTATAATACATTATAGCATTTCTGTTGTTACTCTATTGGCCAATTGGAGACCTTTCGAAACATCGTAATCAAATCCAAACATTTGTTTGGTTGCCATTGATACGAAACCAATAACTTTTTCTAAATTTAGTTCACTTGGTGGGGTTTGGGATGTAAGTATGTTAAGCATTGCAACACTTATAATTGGAATTACTTGGTCTATTATATTGGTGTTTTTATAACTTTTTTTAATATCAGTATGTTCAACTACTTGTTGCTGAACAACAGGTTTTGCTTTAGCATTAGCTTTAGCTTTTACTTGTTTATTTGCTTCATGCAAGGTGATGTTGTCTCTTTTAACTACCTTGAGAGCTTGTTTTTGTTGCTCCCTTGAGGGACAAAGTTTATAATTCGATGGATGGTCACCTTTACAATTAACACACTTCGGGGATTCAGTGTTACATTCGTTGGATTGGTGGTCATCACCACATTTCCTACATTTTCTTTTATTTCTGCAATTTCCTGCCATATGCCCATATCCCTGACATTTATAACATTGGATGGGATTTGGTACATACAGCTTTATTTTATAAGTATTAAATCCAATATTTATGGTTTGGGGTAGTATTGGTACATTAAAGATCAGTTTGACTGATCTTGGCGTTTTTCTTGTATTACTAGTTTTGTCATAGTATGTTAGACGTGTCGCCTTACAAACTTTTTGACTTTTCATGACTGATTTTAAGTCTTCATCCTCGATGTCGAGGTCAAGCGGCACGTTGTATATCACTCCAGCTGATGATGTAGTCGATTTGGGCAAACTTGTCCTAATCGACCATTCACCAATGGAGGTTCTTTGTTGAATCGCTTTCCATTGATGTTTATCTTGGCACTCGATTAGTAAATTGCCGTTTGCAAGTTGCTTTAGATTTTTTGCAACTCCAACCGAATCCGATAAAGCCTTTTGAATTTTAATTGGATTTTGTCTTCCAAGTTTAATAGATGGGTTTATACTAGCTATTATGAGCAAGTATTTGTTTGGGACATTTTGGAGGGAGGGTACTCTGATAACTGTGGTGTTCTGAGTGGTAGCGGGCGAACCTGTTGCTACTCTCTTACGTTTTTTTACTTGGGTTGTCCATGAGTGTTGACTTTCATTGTCAGTTGTTTCTAGGTCACTACTACTCAATGCATTATAAAAATCCTCAGTTTGGAACTGAGTATTTTCTGACTCGTCCATAATGGCGGACAAGACAAAGGTAAACAAAGAAAAACTATATAGATACTGTAAATAAGGTTATATAAATAAATTAGTATCAAATATTGTAAAGATTATATTAATCTTACTTGTATACAACAAAATAAAATCGATACTCAATCTGAAAATGTGAAAATGAACAATAAATAAGTACAGTGCGGTGCTACAAAAAACACGACCGTGATGATCCGGGACTCGCAACCCGAATCCGTACTGAAGTGATAATTTTAGGGGCTGTATTTATGAGACTTCAATCTTGTGTTTATTGAATAAGTGAAATGAAGTGGCTTCTTTAATTGAGTTAAATTTACCACTAAGTATTGAGCACAACTAAACATCAAAGGATAATGTAGATTGAAGAGATTAAATAATTGTTAACCAGATTAATTTTAATGATGAAAGGAAATTTCACAACTTTCATAAATGATATATCCAATCAAGCAAGTTCTTGAAAGCGATAATTTTGTAATTAAAAGTGATATTTTTCTGTTGCTGGACTAAGTGAGAGCTGATAGAAAATAACACTTTAATTTAGTAAGGCTATGGAGGTGTAAATTTTTTTTTTAAATTTTTAGTAACTTACATACATGTACAAATGTGTCTCATGAGAAATAGACAGACCCATTTTTTTAATTTTTCTTTTTTCAGTTTATATTAACACCTTATAAACTAAAAGTTATTTAAATGTCACATTTTTTGCATTTCAACAGTGAAAATCTTATTTTCTTTCTAGTAAAAAGTGTTGCAAATAGGGTGTATCAGTGTGGAATTCCTGTAAACTTTCAAAATTCTTCTCCATGAAAAAATCCAACCATGCTGGTCAACAGTCTCGCTTTCACCATCTTTCATTGCTTCGTCTGTTTTTCTAATTATACAATAGTAAAAAAAAAATTATAAACCTGGCAGATCGCGTAAGAAAACTATTTAATGTATAGAGTCTCCCATATACAGGTTTTATGGTCCGCTAAAGTCAAAATAAAAACTAACACATGTTATGATGATGCAGGCCACAGATGTGACAGTTTATGTTTCAAAATCAATCATATCAAAAGATACATGTATAAAATTTGCATACACTACAATTATAAGTACCAATTGTGAATTTAAATATACAATACTTTCATTACAATCTGAACCAATGAGCATATTATGTAATAAGTGAAAAGACAAATGTCATCAATTATTAAAATTGAAATTTTTGAAAAGTCAATCAATTGAGAGTTATCTCCCCTTGACTATAAATTTGTTAATAATAGTGTAACATCTCAACTTTTGGGAGCAGATACCGCCTCTTTTCGTCACCTTCAAACAATGAAAGAAACTCTTTTCAAGGTGGAACTAGGGGAAGGAGGAGGGGATTAAAATATTTTATGAAATTGAGTGTCACCAAATTTCTGTACGTGTTCTTCCTTCGGCAGCTATTTGAAAAAGAGGCTGCATATTAAAACATGTGCTTGAAGTAGCGCCCCCATATCAATTACAAAATTCCTAAGAGTTTCAAGTCAGATAAGCACCTATGTACTGTACAAAACTATTTTCTACATATTTCTAATATTTCTAACATTTACAAAACATGATATCAAAAGACTTAATACAATTAAAAGTTACAATCTTTCATTGTACCATAAAGTCACTTATGCTGCACATAAGTGTATTTATGGTCCGCTAAAGTCAAAATAAAGACTAACACATGTTATGATGATGCAGGCCACAGATGTGACAGTTTATGTTTCAAAATCAATCATATCAAAAGATACATGTATAAAATTTGCATACACTACAATTATAAGTACCAATTGTGAATTTAAATATACAATACTTTCATTACAATCTGAACCAATGAGCATATTATGTAATAAGTGAAAAGACAAATGTCATCAACTATTAAAATTTAAATTTTTGAAAAGTCAATCAATTTAGAGTTATCTCCCCTTGACTATAAATTTGTTAATAATAGTGTAACATCTCAACTTTTGGGAGCAGATACCGCCTCTTTTCGTCACCTTCAAACAATGAAAGAAACTCTTTTCAAGGTGGAACTAGGGGAAGGAGGAGGGGATTAAAATATTTTATGAAATTGAGTGTCACCAAATTTCTGTACGTGTTCTTCCTTCGGCAGCTATTTGAAAAAGAGGCTGCATATTAAAACATGTGCTTGAAGTAGCGCCCCCATATCAATTACAAAAGTCCTAAGAGTTTCAAGTCAGATAAGCACCTATGTACTGTACAAAACTATTTTCTACATATGTCTAATATTTCTAACATTTACAAAACATGATATCAAAAGACTTAATACAATTAAAAGTTACAATCTTTCATTGTACCATAAAGTCACTTATGCTGCACATAAGTGTATTTATGGTCCGCTAAAGTCAAAATAAAGACTAACACATGTTATGATGATGCAGGCCACAGATGTGACAGTTTATGTTTCAAAATCAATCATATCAAAAGATACATGTATAAAATTTGCATACACTACAATTATAAGTACCAATTGTGAATTTAAATATACAATACTTTCATTACAATCTGAACCAATGAGCATATTATGTAATAAGTGAAAAGACAAATGTCATCAACTATTAAAATTTAAATTTTTGAAAAGTCAATCAATTTAGAGTTATCTCCCCTTGACTATAAATTTGTTAATAATAGTGTAACATCTCAACTTTTGGGAGCAGATACCGCCTTGACGTATGCAGCTCTTATGGAGCTGAATACGCTGCCCTAAAGTAAACCCGCATCACCCATCATCCTTCTTATGCAAATGATAAAACTTACGATTCTATGTACTGTTTATTAACAAGTAAAAAATTATGCAACAAATGTATATACTAAAAATACACAATATACAGACATTGAGTCCCACGAATGTCCTTTATCCTAAAAGACACAATTTACAGACATTGTGTCCTACCTACGTATCTACTTTATACCACCAATCATAAACTAAAGAGACACAATTTACAGACATTGTGTCTTATCAATGTATCTACTTGATACAAACCAAATATACTAAAAAGACACAATTTACAGACATTGTGTCCTATCAATGTATCTACTTGATACAAACTAAAATATACTAAAAAGACACAATTTACAGACATTGTGTCCTATCAATGTATCTACTTGATACAAACTAAAATATACTAAAAAGACACAATTTACAGACATTGTGTCCTATCAATGTATCTACTTGATACAAACCAAAATATACTAAAAAGACACAATTTACAGACATTGTGTCCTATCAATGTATCTACTTGATACAAACCAAAATATACTAAGAAGACACAATTTACAGACATTGTGTCCTATCAATGTATCTACTTGATACAAACTAAAATATACTAAAAGGACACAATTTACAGACATTGTGTCCTATCAATGTATCTACTTGATACAAACCAAAATATACTAAAAAGACACAATTTACAGACATCGTGTCAAACAAATATTTTTACTTGATGCAATAACAGACCAAGTTTGTTAACTATTGACTAAATTCTTACAGCAAAAACATGCATTCAATAATTGTATTAATACCTCTTTTCCCTTTCAGATAACTGTATTTCCTTATATATTGTTATAAGTTTACTGATAAATATTACTACATGTTGATGGGAGATTTTAAGATTCCAGTCCTGGCAAGCTGTTTTCTGTCAATTACTTCTCAGTAAAATTTGGTCATTTCAATGGTAAACGGATGAATTCCTGGTTTTAGGTTGTCCTTGTATCAGCTTAAATAAGCGTCATAATTCACCTTTCCCAATTGTCCACCGTTTCCATATAATATGAACTGTTATTCTGTTTGCGATATGTAATGAGCTGTGACCCACAAGCCCTGTACAAAATATAAAATAATAAACGGCAGTAATTCATTCACAAATTACGTCATTACATGATCAGTTGTGAGACAGATAAACATGACTAAAGGTTAGAAATTTGACCTGATTGTCTAATATATAATTTGAATGCATCAGATTTCCATCTACCTAAATTTCTTATGGTTTCTGTGGACAATCCTTTTGCACTTGCGTCGGTAGCAAAGCCTATCCTGAAACTATGAGGTTTGTAATATGCTCTGCTGAGCCCACAAAAGTTCAAAGCACCATTCAGAGCATGTTGGAATAATTGTCTAGAAACAGCTTCTCCACTGGAGTTGAGGAATAGTGGACCCGTTGTGTTTGTTCTCAAAGTTAAGTAACTAGTAAGTGCTGTTACTGCACAAATATTGTTATTTTTATTCTTAGCTATTTCTAAATGGAATTGTTTTCCATTTGAATGTTTGAAGTCCATGAAACTGATACTTAATTTTTCGTGTAACACAACAGTTTGACTTAAACTAATAACATGATTGTAATTTTTGTTGTTGACTGTCATCTCACCAATTCTTAAAAGAGCATGGTATGCTAGGGTGAACATTGCTTTGAATAGAATTTGATCATATCTATTAGATATTGTCTGTTTTAATGCATCTATTAATTGATTCAAAATTGTACTAGTAATTGGAAGTCTCATATCTTGATTTCTTCCCTTATGCACTGATTTCAGTACCTTATCAATAATGAATGAATCAGTTGGATCAGGCCAATTATTAATTTTGTGTGTAAAACCAATTGCTGATATGTATGTTGACATAGAACTTGATGCAAGATCTTTGTTTTTCAAATGTGCTATAAGTAGTATGAGATCTGAACTAGTAAGTGGTAACTGAAATCTAATGCCATATTCTTCAGCAAAACTCTTATAGTGGATAATTGCTCTTCTATAAGTTTTTTGTGAGGATTCAGATAAGATGTTGTTAAAACTTTTATTTAAGGGTTTCTGTAGCTTGGCAAATCTGGTAGATTGGGAACTGGTTTGGGAACAGTGTCTGCCCATGGTGCTAACCGATGAAATTTCTGTACCTGTTGACGAGAAAGTGCATCTGCCAAAACATTTTTTGAACCATATATGTGTTTTGCCTTAAAGTTCACATTGTTTCTCAAGCAGTGTAGAACTAGTCTCCTTATTAGGAACATAATTAACGCATCTTTAGATGTTTGTTTATTAATTACAGACACTAAAGCTATATTGTCTGTATGAAAATATATGCACTGGTTTTCAAATCGGTGGCCCCATATTTCAACTGCCAAGACTATGGGATATAGCTCTAAAAAGGCAATATTTTGTTTTTGCCATTTTGTGTCCCATTTGCCTAAGAACCACTGTGAACCAAACAAAGCACCAAACCGTATGTACCAGAGGCATCTGTAAACAAATGTAGCTGATCAGATGTTAACCAACGGTCTGATAAAATCAATGACTTCCCATTAAAATTCTTTAAAAAATTTTGCCATGTATTTAGATCTTGCTTAACTGATTTTGTCATTCGTATTCTATGAAAGGATTTTTTGACCCCAATTGTTAAGTCTATTAGTCTTCTCAGAAATGCCCTTCTTGGGATGACAACTGCACAAGCAAAGTTGAGTGTACCAATGATAGATTGAAGTTCCCTCAATGTAATTTTTTCTTTTTGTAACACTACGGTTAAAAGATTGTGACATTTATCAAGCTTATCAACTTCCATCAACCTAGTGTCTATTTCGTAACCAACAAAACTCATAACCTGGGATGGCTGGAATGTTTTTTCCTTAGAAATTGGTATACCCATATCTTAACAAATTGCAAGAAAACGTTCTAATTTTTTCTTACACCCATCTTCGGTTTTGTCTACTATCATAAAATCATCTAAAATATGCACTATGTTTGGAATAAGTACTTTATTTTTTGCGATCCATTCAATGGCTGTGCTAAAATTTTCAAAAATTTGACAAATAGAACTACAACCCATTTGCAGATTTTTATCGTAATAGTATTTCCCCTCCCACATGAAGCCAAATAGTTTGTATTGTGATTCTGTTATGTTTATAATTCGAAATGCACTGGATATGTCGGTTTTTGCACAAAAACTTTTTCTTCCTACAGACTTAATCAGTTCTATTGCATCTTGAATGGAAGCATACTGTACACTGCATTTGTCTTGTGGTATATTGTCATTGATTGATGATCCTTCAGGGAAAGATAAGTGGTGGATCATTCTATATGTCCCAGGCATTTTCTTTTCTGCTAGTCCCAAAGGGGATAATTGCATTTCTGTAAAAGGTTTTGAATCAAAAGGGCCAACAAATCTATTTGCATTAATTTCATTTTGAATTTTTTGTCTAACAATATCAGGTTTAGTCTTTGCTGATAATAAATTATCAACTGTATTATGATGAACAGAACCTCTGAACCCATATTTAAACCCGTTAACTAAGTAATTGTACATTTCAATATTATATCCTTTTAACCAATATCCAAGCCTATCAACCTTAACTGGTGTATTGCTATTAGAATTATAGTTAACATCATTTTCTGGTGGGGACAGTTATTTCTGTCCTTGGGGAAGAGGTGTCGTCTCTGTTACTAGATAGGGAGGGTCCCCGAAAGGGCTGGTTATTCCCTCCTTGTATCTTTATTGAGTAATTACTGGTTTGTGTGAACTTATAAGGGAGCCGAACTGGTTTTTTGCATGTTGAGAATGAGTGGTTGAAACCGCAATTGAAACATCTGTGTTGAAACTTACATTTATCACCAAACTTACAACCTAAACCCTTATGAAATGAAAAACATACTCCAACTGGCCAGCGAGTACTGCCACCTTTGTTGTTGTCATTCCCAGATTTAACGTTAGCTTGTAATTTTGCTCTGAGATATAGTTCTAGGTGTGTACTCCCCCAGTGTGCTTCTCCTCTTTCTAATAATTTCCTAAATTCGATATCGTAAAATTGCCAGTTCCCCCCTTCTCTTGACATTTCCAGGATTATTTCCATATGGTGGGGGATTACAGGCCCTAATTCAGGGTTTTTAGTACAAATTATTGCTGTAAATTTATTCCAGGCTGATGGCCATTGGTTTAGGGTTAATGTTTTCTTGTTACGCTCTTCTGTAATGGACAGTTCAGGGTTGTCGGCCCCTTGAACAAGTTGTAATCTGTATTTGGTCTCGTCATTTTCAAAGAGGGAATGGAAGTCGATGTACTTTCCCGCCCATATTTGTTGTTTTATTTTATCCGGTATATTTCCCCCTGTTTTGAGGGAGCAACTGACAAAGGCTGATTGCCCCCCAATAATTTGTTTATCAACAGTTGGTTGTACAGCCAGAACCTCTGGGCTGACAACCACATTTTTATTGTCATGGTTTTGCTCTCCATTACATGTACCTTGGATGTTTCTGTTCAGAGTGTCCACGTGATGTTGGACCTCAGCCTCCTGAATATCTGAATTGCCATTATTTCCTTTTGAAGTTATCTTGTCAAAAATTTCCTCCATCCTCCTTTCCATTCGGCTAGCTACCCTTTCCGTTACCCTATTGGTCAACTCCTCCATGACATCTGGTGATATAACTGTTGCATTATTTGGGGAGATGGAAGGCCTACTTGGTATAGCGGGGTGATGTTTTCTTCCTCTGGGCGGCCGTTTTCATTTTCTTTATGGCACCTGCCTCACCGTACGAGGATTGTCTTTTTGGAGGCATTGTCTGAAATATACTAATGCAAACTTAATACAATACTTTCAATTATAATAATTTTTCTTTTTAGGACTATTTTGTTTTATTGAATTTGTTTTTCTTTGTATTTAACCTTGATTATTCATGTTAACCTTGATTGAATAATTTAATCTGGACGGTCCTCAACCATTAAACATGTTAAAATTGTTTTGTTTGTGTTCATTATTATCTGAAATATTACCAGTTTCTGCCGTAAAATTTTTCCTTTTGGTAACTAAATATTTAGTTTTAGCAACAACATTAAGTTCAAACATACGACATGTATCGTTACTGTATACATGACCTACATAATTCATTATATAAAAGTCAAGTACGATAATGTGATATGTACTATGATATCGATCGACAAACAGTAACATAGCGGATTGATATGTAAATTTGTGTTGTTAACTTGTATTTATTTATGGTAACTACTACTTGAACCATGATTATGCATCATAATCTTAATAAGTTTGATTGTCATTCTGTTGCGATTATCCACCGGAAGTTTTCTAAAGATTCCAAAATTTACGAGTACGGTTTAGATACGTGTTAATTTCCGTTTTCTAATTTAATCTCTTTGCAGGCATTGATAACTGCTCCTCGTATTGACTTGTATAAATGGTATTGACCTTTCGTATTTAGATGTACTCCATCGGAAATAAATTTATCTTTGCATGAATTTTTGTTTGTGGTGTCAAAAGAAAATCTTTTGTTATGATCCCAAAAGATAAATTTCGATGATTTTTCAACCTCGTTTTTTATCATTTTATTTATTTCTTGTGCTTTTTCAAAATACATATTCTTGTATGCCCTATCTCGGACACTTGTATTGTCCCGAGTGTATCCATCTTTCTTAAGTCTTAAATTATCCCGAGGGAAGCGTGGCATGATGGCACATATTACTACTCGTCGAACTCCATACGTATTTGTCAGTATCGAACAGAAACTTATCAGTTTATATGCCACTTCCTCAACAGACGTGTCTTCTACAACATCGTTACCACCAGCTAGGAGAATAACACATTCGGGTTTTTTAATTTTAACTATGCCCATGTCGAACTTTATCATTTTATGAATAGTTCTACCTCCTACGCCATGCCACTCGACGGTTGAGGTTTTTGCCAAATTGAAGTCTAATTGGTGTCTATGATCGTTTCCTGATTTCAGGTAGTTGTGAAGCCGATGGCAAATGGAATGACCTAGTATAAGTGTGTTTAAAGGCATGCCTAGAAAAATTATTTTATGAAATTGAGTTAAAATATTTTATGAAATTGAGTGTCACCAAATTTCTGTACGTGTTCTTCCTTCGGCAGCTATTTGAAAAAGAGGCTGCATATTAAAACATGTGCTTGAAGTAGCGCCCCCATATCAATTACAAAATTCCTAAGAGTTTCAAGTCAGATAAGCACCTATGTACTGTACAAAACTATTTTCTACATATTTCTAATATTTCTAACATTTACAAAACATGATATCAAAAGACTTAATACAATTAAAAGTTACAATCTTTCATTGTACCATAAAGTCACTTATGCTGCACATAAGTGTATTTATCATATTTTAACCCTTTTGCTCCATGTTTCTATATTAATACCTGACTTTGTTATTGTATATCAACTGACATCGATACACTCACTTTATAATAAGTCAAACAACATTCTGGTCAATATTAGAGAAGAAAGACAAACAGTAATCTATGGTAGCTTATTTCTGACATCGAAGAAAAAGTCACGGTAACGAGAAAAATATGTCGACATTCTGCAGCATGTATCACGGAATGTCGCGATAATTTATCATGACATGACACGATAAAAATGACATGAAAGTCAACATAACGAGATAATATCATGGCTTGTCAAGATAATATCATGTCTTATCGAGATAAATCTATGTCGACCAAAATTACGTCGATGTCAGAAATAAGCCACCATACAAACATAAAGCCCAGACATCTACAGCTATTGAAATAAACGCAACCCTATCCCTGTGACACATATTACATAAGAATGATGTATTATTGTATTCATGTTGTGGTGATACAGCATTTTTTGTAACAGAAAGTTTTATTACGTTCACCAATGAATCGGATTTAAATATATTACTACGTATGGATATTTGATCATCCAGGTCAGCAAACTGTGCTTAGTTTCTAAATTTAGCATTTTCATTTAAAGGTCTCAGCAAATAGTTTAAAATAATTTGAAATCATATCATAGGTTTATGCATATTGAAAGCTTTCTTATAAAATTTTTGTTTTGTGAAAATATGTTATATCAAATACAAACTCGTTTTATATTTACAGGAAACAGGTATAATCAGTCAGATAACATCATGACACAAGGACAAACTGTACTGTAAAATCAGAAATATTTGCGATGTTTTTATTATTGTGAAAATTGCGACGGAATAGGTGTCGCAAAAATAAAAAATTAAACTTTTGATAGTACTATTTTTATGCAGCATTCTTTGAAGTCACAATACTTAATTTGTTTTTCCACCTTTTTGCAGTTTTTGCCATTCTTTAAATAATCTCAATAATAAATGCACGCAATAATTTCTGAATTTACAGTCCTAGGCCTACTATTCTAATGCCCCGTTCATATAGTGAAACTTTACATGTGCATGTAAACATACACATGGGCAGTAAAACCCTTGCTTAAGTGGGGCATCCGTTTAGCCAAGTGGGATGTACATGTATACATAGGGCGTCACGTACGGTCGGAATGGGACATTACATCCGATGCCTTGCGTAATGGATGTGTTAAACTCATTGCACGTTTTAGAACCATTGTAAAAACTTTGAGGGGTCCGTAGGTGGATGTTGCAAAGCAAAATTTCTGTCTCCTAATCAACATACTCTTATTTCCAGTGGTAGTTCAAATTTCCCGCTCTTCATTCAGATCGGCGTGGCTTGCATAACATACCAATTAGTATTGGTTGTTAATGGTTTCTCGTCCTGAATATACATGAAACAATTGCCACTGCACTTTAAGAAAGCAAAATCAATAATTCAATCTCAAAATGGATAAGAATCATCCTCTCTTCATATAAAGCTTGGTTTCAACCCCTTGTAAGGTTTTCGATACTGCACCATTTGATTAATGGTGCAGTAACCAAAATAACTTAAATACGGACGGGCACAAATCGTATGGACTGCCAGACAGACGGGTAATTAACTATTACCCTCGCTGCTTCGTATCTTTGAGTATAAAAAAAACCCAATATTTTAAATTTTGCGTTGATATGCACAAAATACTCATATTTTCATACGGGCAATTTTACTTTTGCATCAAGGGATTCGGTCATGAAAATGTATACTCATTGAAAAGCATAAGTGTGTATTTGCGTTAATATGCATGTATTACACCTACATATGTATTTATGCATTCATATGTATATAAGCATACGTATGCAAATGTGTGTTATGTGAAAAGGGAATTATACGAGAAAAGGATAGATTAGTATATAATGAAATGAAATAACTTTCACATATTTTATCACAAATTAAACCATTGTGGTGACGTCAGCCTATTCATTTACCGTGGATTCTTTTTCTAGAATCAACGCTTCCTAAATCTGCCGCTGAAATTGACTCGCCAAATTATATTCAATTGTTTCCTTTGTGTGCCTAATTTCATTAAGTTTGAATTGGCTAATTTACTGATTTCTGTTCACTAATGGAATTAATTTAAAAACTTACCTTTAATTTTTGTAATTTTTATATGCCTTCACTGGGAATCGAACCCTTCCTTGAAATCTGTTATGTGTGACTGACATCAAGACATCGACGAAACCTCTCGGCCACCAATGGGTTACACTGTAGATGTCTATTTTATATATTTAAATGAACATCTGATATACATCGGTTCATCGGACACACAGGGCTTGTACCTTTATATATACACAATAGGCAGTCGTATAGTATGAGTTGGTAGCCGCGAGGTTAGCATGGTTAAAATCAATGAGTCAAAGATAGGAATTTGTCGGTTTAGGTTTGAATCCCTGTATTCTCTCTGTTGTTCCAATTCTTAAGTTATCCTGTTTTTTTTCTAATTTTGCATGTTATAGTGGATATTTTTGTAATAATAGCGAGTTTTTACCGGTTTTTTTTTATTATTATTGGATATTTCACATGTTTGAAACAAAAATGATTACATTCTATTTGTCAATTTTTGTTTTATAAATATAGTATGATTTCATCTGTTTTACTACATAATTTTACAAAGGTTTGTTCGCAAATTCCTATGCGAGTAAATCGTGATGTGCCTAGAGTGCTAGAAAAATTTCGATAACATACTTATTATATATACTTTATATATGCTTTTTGGTCGGGTTGTTGTCTCTTTGACACGTTCCCCATTTCCATTTTTAATTTTATTAGAAATAATTTCGAATATGTCTTATTTTGTATAAACAGATAATATTCATATGTCTGGTAATATAAAGATCTTTAATGGTAGAAGTGTTATATTTGTGTTTTGTTAACTAATTAATTGTGATCTGAGATTTATCAATGCATCGTTGGACACGATAACATGGTTATTTAAACTCATTTACAATACCTTCTAATTAAGAAAAGACTTTAATTTTGAAAAGAAATTAACACAATAGTTTAAGTTATAGATACAATGGATAAGCGTAGATTCATGAAAAACAAACCATTCGCCCTCCGGGCTCATGGTTTCTTTTTCAAGAATCCACGCGTATCCATTGTATCTATATAACATATTTACTTCTATAACACAGAAAGACAGTGCTCATAAGGACAGCTTTGATAATACATACTGTCGTTTACAATTCTATAAAATCATATAGTATTGCAAAGTTCTATTTTTACATACCTGAGGAAAACCATTTTTTTCCTGCATTTTGTTTTTAAGCTCCTCCCAAAATAAAAAAATTTGGGATCCCCTTTCGCTCGTTCGTCAGAATGCAACACATTTATACAGATGAAAAATACAATATAATAGTACAATGCTCCCTCCAAGCATACTAGACATTGAATCCTGAAAACAAAAATATTTTCTCTTAATGAATGTGCAGTTCGGAGACCACCAGTTGACAGTGCCAGATATTAACTTGTGTTTTATTTTTTTAGGGTGAGTAGGTGATTTCTGAGCGTATCTAACATTTAAATAAATCTCGAAGTTTAATCCTACTATTCATAAAGGTATTAACATCGAATTTTCGAATAACAGCAAGACATCAGCAACCATTGAAATAAAGGCTACTGACTTGAGACATGCACATTATGCATGCTACGTGTGCGATGAGAGTAATATTTATGTTATATAATCAACATATATTATATAAGTTATACAATAATTTGCAAATGTAATTGTATGTACTTTAAAGTTGGCATGTATAAGTACAATATTTGATATAAAATTTTGTTGAACATGTTGTATACATTTAGTTGATGTATTATTTTATTCGAGAAGAGCGGATACAGCAGTTTTTAAACAAAATGTGAAATAAATTATACCCATGATAGGTAATGGGGATCCAGTTGTATACTTTCTATTGATAATGAAGAATCTTCTGTCAGGTTTTATGAAATTCCACGAAGGTTTGTCAAAGTTAATGATTTCTAAAGAAACTTAACCACAGACTGAATCTGGACCAAAATGTTGACGACGCCGAAGATGTCGATGGAATGTAGGAATGCTATGTATAACTTTTGTCGATGGAATGTAGGAATGCTATGTATAACTTTTGTCGATGGAATGTAGGAATGCTATGTATAACTTTTGTCGATGGAATGTAGGAATGCTATGTATAACTTTTGTCGATGGAATGTAGGAATGCTATGTATAACTTTTGTCGATGGAATGTAGGAATGCTATGTATAACTTTTGTCGATGGAATGTAGGAATGGTATGTATAATTTTTGTCGAAGGAATGTAGGAATGCTATGTATAACTTTTGTCAATGGAATGTAGGAATGCTATGTATAACTTTTGTCGATGGAATGTAGGAATGCTATGTATAACTTTTGTCGATGGAATGTAGGAATGATATGTATAATTTTTGTCGATGGAATGTAGGAATGCTATGGATAACTTTTATCGATGGAATGTAGGAATGCTATGTATACCTTTTGCTACCTTCATTCACCACATGCGACATAAAAAAACAAATTTCAAGAGTGCAAAATTAATGTTCATGGAGTGTTAAATGAACTTGTATATAAACATTTATACTACGTACAGTTCAATGCAATTTTTTCAGCTTTACTTAAAAACAAAATGTTTTGATTCTTTACTCGAAAAAAGTACATTTTCGGCGATTTTTAACAATATCGTCCATGTTCAGGTCCTTTTTGTGCTGTATATGTTGTTATGTGTATTATTAAGTATTTGTCTATAGATGTTGAGTGCTGTGAAACCGAGTTGGAAAAGGACTGACATACGCAAAACACATTTTAAACTTAAATGTATCATGGTTGTTTTTTTTTATACAAAACGTCGATTATAAAAGTAGGCAATACTCCTTTTCAACATTAGTTCACTTTGTTTATGAAATTCACAAACCAAGCAAATCATTCTTAAATTGTACATATACTCTGTAACCAAAGGTTACACAAAAAGTGTTACAATTCGATTTCAGAACAAAATCATAAGCATTAATAATTAGTATTTTCTTTAAAAGCGTTTCCTTCCAGAGTCAAATATCTTTAATTTATTTGGTTATAGTTAATTTAATAATGCAAAATTGAATTGATTCCCAGGGTATTAGTACGTAATTGGTGGGTTTTTTTATGTGTTAAAAATACTGAATACCAGCATGCTCCAATTAAAGGATCTTTTTTAAATCCCTAGTAACCTCAAACTTTTCTAGACTCTAAGCATTTAAATGCTTGATATATTATTTAGACACTTGTCCATTGTTAAATACCATTTGTTGACCTCCAAATGTTTTCTTCTTAATTGTTGTCGTTATGTCAGTGCTGTCTCTATTGTATAACTTGTATATATAAATCATCATCAGCAGCACCATCATTATCATTGTAAACAATACTGACTCCTACATTTTATAACTTGTATATATAAAAAAAAAAGTAAAATCACAAAAATACTGAACTCCGAGGAAAATTCAATCGGAAAGTCCCTAATCACATGGCAAAATCAAAAGACAAAACACATCAAACGAATGGACAACAACTGTCATATTCCTGACTTGGTACAGGCATTTCCAAATGTAGAAAATGGTGGATTGAACCTGGTTTTATAGCGCTAAACCTCTCACTTGTACGACAGTCTTATCAAATTCCGTTATATTTACAACGATGCGTGAACAAAACAGACATTATAAATAAAATAGTCAAAATATGGGTACAGCAGTCATCACTGTGTTACAATATCAAAACAAGTTTTTTTTCTCTTAATGTTCAATCTTTTAAAGTTGAAACACATAAAAATCAGTGTATCGGTAAAATGTGTGCAAACATGAAGCAAGGCTATGTCGTTGACTTCGGGATAAATCTAACTCCCTTAATTAAAGTTACACTTCATATTCAAATTATGGTTTCTACCTATGTAAGGTAACTATCATGATTCATTGATCGACATATGGGACGTCGTCAATTAAATTATTACTTAATAATATAAGATGTGTAACGAGTGAAGATCATCAGGATTGGTTTACAGTTCCTATGACATAAATACTTTGAAAAAGACTTAATATAAAATAAGAAATCATTTCCGTTTCTTTATTTCGAAAGTTAAATTTCAACGAGAATTAATTAGATAAAGTAAGTTATTATTATTATTGGCTTATAGCAATTATAAATTATGAAATCCAGAGAGCTCTGGTGAAATCTTTAAATTATTAATATGTGGGATTCATTTTTTCTCAAGAATTATTACAGTTGAGAATGATTTGATTTATGGTAGATGCGTTTTATTTAAGTTTTGCTTTTGCATTTTTGTTTTTTATATTCTATTTCAGTTTATTTTTCTGGGTTTTTTTTTTTGCATTTGTTTTTTGTTTTTTGTTTTTTTTTTTTTGCTTTAATTTGTTATACTTGTTTTCTTGAATTTAAAAAAAAATGTTTATCCTATCCTCAAATGTTTAATTTTAATTTTGTTTTATTTCAAATTATCGTTTTGTCGATCGTAGAACCACTAAATATAATTAATGAGCTGTGTCGGATAGAAATCGACCTTATGCAAATGAATATTAATACATCTATTGGAGCTAATTTTGGTTGAAAACATCTCTATGCAAAATCTTTAACTGTTTGAAAATTGATTTGATATAAGAACCCTACAAAACAGACCAAAATTCATCTTTTATTTCGTATTTGATTATTCCAAAATCAATCAAAGTCTATACATGTATATATATACGTGCACTTGCATAAGGTCGATTTCTATCCGACGCAGCTCATTTAATACTTTGTATGGAGATTAAATCATCCAGGTGAGACACAACAAGCAGTCATCAAAACTGCGCCTTGTTTCTCAATTCAACATTTTCGTTTAGTATATATGAAAATAAATAGTTACAGGCAAATACGTTTTTTTTCCCTAAGATATTTGCAACAAATGCAGACGAAGAGGTAAAAGCGACATATTTCAGAACCAAAGTCAGACTATCATGTGCGTCCGAAGTGATTTTCTGAATTAACCTTCATCGGGAACGCTCAAACTGCAAAAAATGTAAGCCATTACTTTAACACTTGAGGGGCTATAAATTATCCTTTAATTTTCTGAAAACAATGAAAAGTATAATTTACTTTGTAAACTCAGCTCCATTCACCGTACACGACTTGTTCTATCATATCAAATTGCATTTTCTCCCCTTCACGAAGTTATTCAAATGATCAAAGCTGTTTGTTCACCTATAAAGGCAGATAAAAGAAAATAATTTTAAAAACTTAAACAGATTAAACGTTTCTTCAAGATATTATAAATGATTGTAATAAAAAACAAGTTCTATCTTCAAAAAAAATATCCGACGCCTTCCGATTGGAGCATAATTTTCAAACACCAACTGTTTAAATGTCTTTTTTATTATATCTAAATGCCCTAAAGACGTCAAAATTCTGACAATTCTGAAATTGAGCGCACGCACTTGTTTCTAACAAATATATACATATATACCTTTACTAGTAAAGGTATGTACAGTATTTTCTAAAAGACAAGTGCCTGTGAAATTAAGATTAAAATAAACAATATACAATGCAACACATAACACCGGATTTTGAACAGAAGAAATGCCAAGCATCAATTTACCAGTTAGAGACGCAAACCCTTTCGGTGCGTAAAACGGACGGGCGCCGAAGGGAGATGATATATAACACATCTTTTGACAGGTAATCAAATTTGCTGTATATATTTTTACTTTCTTTATTTCAAAGTATTATATTTTGTACCCAAAAATACTCATATATCGATTCTTACTTAAGTGTATCAAATTTTGACTGCTCTTGCATGTACACAAAATTGTATTAATGTGGACAATGGAATTTCCCTGAAAAGTGTCAATGGAAGATATTTTTATAGCATTCGAGACTAGTACAGTAAATTTATCTATTTGTCCCAGGTTTTAAAACCAAGATTTATCTGTACACACGGTATTAATAGGCATAAATTATTTAGTTTAAACAATATTTATTCAGATAAATCAACATTAAACGATATGATACAATGAAATAAATATGAAGGATTCAGAAACAAGCAAATTTGCTTTTACAAATCTGTCTCCTTTTACACAAATAATACACTTATTGAACAATACATAAATATAAATACTGGCATGCTCTGTAATAAATATATGAATATGAAAAAGTAGAAAATACATTAGAGAAGAAGAAGGAAAAAAAAATACAAAAATAAACATGAATTTTTGTAATGTATACAGTGTGAAATGCTTGGTTTCCTATTGAATGGTGAAGCAGTAAAATCAAGGGTTAAAACGTTTGCTTTTGAAAATGAATTTCTGCACCAAACTAAATAAATGACTATTTTGCTCATCTGAGAGTATACCGTTGATCCAAAAAGCAAATTTTTTGTGTCAACATGGACAGGAAGAACTGAAACAGAAGCTAATAGTTCATGTCTTAAATCAGTGTATATTGGACAAGATAACAGGAAGTGTTTTTTTTTGTTTCTACACCACCACAACGACAATTTGGAGAGTCTACTAAATTGCGAAGGAATAGGTGAGAATTCGATGAACTTGAATTCATTCTTAAGCGAGCATGAAGAATTTGACCAAGACGATATCCCACGTAAAAATACGTTGGGACCTTACTATTTTGTGTACGAATTTGTTTTTTGAATAATGGTAGAGATTCACATTTTCTTATGTTTAAGTTAAGAGTGTTCCATGTTTTGTTGTTGCTGGGATAAACTATTCAGAATATAAACAGGTCCGTGTGTAGACTTGTGTAGTATTATTTCTTTGTCTTGTATTATGATCATGTCTACTTCCTACTGAATCGGGCATTAAGTCTCTTAAATAATCTGGAGTTTTATTATTCAAAATTTTGTGATAAAGAATTAGTCTATGATTGCGTCGTCTTTCAGATAATTTTTCCCATCGAGTTTCAACATATAATTTATTAATACTGGTAAGTTTAGTAACCCCGTGACGATACGTGGATATTTTCAAGTTTAGCAATCAAATTCCGATTTTGAGAGTGCCAAACGACTTCGGGATATTCAAGAATTGGGCGAACAAATGATATGTAAATTTTTTTTTCAAGTGTAAACCTATCAAGAACATTTTTCATTTTTCTGATTATATTTATTCTTTTGTAAGATTTAGAAATTATATATTCAATATGGTCGTTCCAGGATCCGTTGTTAGAAAAAAAAGACACCTAGATGTTTATGTTTACTTACTGTTTGTAGCTCTAGGGTATTCATATTTAATGGAGGATGAACGGATTTATTTATTTTTTTGAAATTATCATACTTTCAGTCTTTTGGGCATTAAAATTCACAAGCCATTTCTTTGACCAATTATAAATCTTATCTAGATCGTTATTTAAAATTGTAGCTGTTTCTGTTGGATTGTCAACCATAATATATAATGAAGTGTCATCTGCGAGTAGTTTAATTTGAGCTTGAATATCTTCAACCATATCGTTAATAAATATAAAAAAAGGAGAGATCCCAGAATGGACCCTTGTGGGACGTCTGCATTTACCGGTAACCATTCAGAACTTGAACCGTTAATAACCACCCGCATGACTCTATTTGTTAGATAATTTTCAAACCACTTTAATAAAGAACCCGATATGCCCATTTGTTGAAGTTTGAATAGCAGTCCCTTATGCCAGACTCGATCAAAAGCTATACTTTGTCTTATGTCACAGAATACTACCCTAATTTCTTAACCGCTATCTAAAGCCTTCCCAAAATCATTTGATATATTAATTAATTGATTAATCGCTGAATCCCCTCCGTGTAAAGACTGACTGATTTTTTGTTAAAATGTTATTACTCTTTAAGTGATTGTAAACATGTTTATATACACAGCGTTCCATACACTTTGAAATTACACTCAACAAAGAAATAGTTTTTCAATTCATTCGGTTTACTATTTTTATAAACTGGGGTAACATTTGCTATTTTCCATTGATCTGGAAAAGTAGACGTACTTAACGATAAGATTAATAGCTTACATAAAGGATACTTCAATACAGAAGATGATTCTTTTAATAATTTGGGATTTATGAGGTCTGGACCAGCAGAAGCTTTTGTGGGATTAACAATTTTCAATATATCTTCAACTTCAGTAACAGTAAATTCCATATGACTAATGTCATCACTAATACCATGAAGTTCTTCAGGTAACATAGCACTTGCATTATCAATATTTGACTGGAAGAAAATCAAAGTACTGAAGTACTGAACATCGGATGACCGCAAGTTCTTGTGGATGGTCAAAAGCACTTGTCACAGAAAAAAATCACATCTCTATACCTGAAACTGAGGTTAATGTACAGAGATATATTTTTTTCTGAAACAAGTTCGTGCGTGGATGATGAATAAATGACAGGAAATTCAACCTCACCGTAATAACTATTATATTGTTGTGATACAAATCAGTACACACTGGTTTGTTGTTATATATTATATTAATATAACAGTTACATATATATATAATTTTCATCCATTTGTATATCATTCTATTATACTATTCTAATAATGTGCAGTGCAAGTGCATGGTGGACACCTCTTCTGTAAAAATTCGATTTTTCTAAAAGATTGGATATGAGAAGGCATTCATATTTTCCCGCAAAAACAATTACAGAGTTACCGGTCCTTGCCGGGATTGTCGCAAAACGTTCTTGATATATTCTTCCGCATGCTTTAACACAATTTTTCGGTACGTGTGCATAGATATTATCAATGATTTTTTACTTATATGTATATATATCTGTAACACTCCCAAACGTGTCCATCCCCCCAAACGTGTCTATTTCCCCCAAACGTCTCCTTAAAAGTTGACATCGCCCAAACGTGCCCGATTTCATAACCCCCAAACGTGTTCGATAATTGTTATTCGCCAACACGTGTCCACTTTAAAACGACTGAACGTCTCAAAACTTTAAGCGCTATTATGTTCTCAGTGACGTCAATAACATTTACGGCAGACACAATTGAAGAAGTCGGGTTTTGGTTGGATTCTAAATAAGATAAAAGCAGCATTCAAAAGACATAAATCTAGAAGTATTTGGGGCACAATTACCAGAAATTAAAAAAGGAACAGAGTTGAAAGAAGAAATTCAAAATTTATTAGCATTAGTTTGTTCAACGCCAGTTGTTTATATGTAAACGGTCATCGCGATGTAAAAATCGATTAAATTCATTTGCCTTTTCGATTTCATCAAATATTAAGTTGTTATTAACCATTAATGGAGGTACACTTGCGTCGTTTGTTTTTAATCCGGATATTTGTTTGACCATTTTCCACCAGTTAGTAGTGGACGGGTTACTGTTCATGATTTTTTTAAATTAAATTGTTATTAAAATCATCCTTTGATTTTCTTATTAAACTACCATAAGAAATAGCTTCATTTCGTATTTTCTTAAATTTTGTCCAATCCGATTGCTTATTATATTTTTTAGCCTTTCTGTGGATTCTATTTGTTTTCCTTATCTTTTTTTTAATATCATTTGTTAGCCATGAAGGTTCATTTTTTTCGAACAGTTATTATCTAATATTATACAAACGTATGTTCGAACATCAACAATGTCATTTTCAGCGGCTTCTATGATAGTTTTTGTTATTTCAGTTGTAAATTGTTCAACGTTATTAGAGTTTAATAAATTATTTAATAGGCATAAATTATTTAGAGCGCGCGATGGTAGTGAACTGAAAACCTGCAAGTTTTGAAATAATTTTCGCATGGGTAATAATGACCTTTTCAATTCCTTCATTACGTTCATCTGAATGTTTTCACCATATAAATGTAACGTGAGGGTACCCAAATTGCACCTATTTTGACAGTTTTTTCACCTACGTTTATTTATGATCCAGACAAAAGTTTCCATTCTGTGTTTATTTTGTAGATGTATCCTTATTTACTATATAGTTCCACCAATTTAATTTTGAATCCATATTGGATCATAGAAAAATGGGTTTGAACCGACCTCCAAACGATCCATGATTCTGTAATGAGGAGTACCCAAATTGCATCCATGCTTTAATTCACATCCTTAAAAATCGAATAACAGATGTTTTGTTTTATTTCTTCAAATATTTAGAACAATTTGACATTAGTCCATGCTTACTATTAATTTTTAAAAAAATGGATAGTCGTAACATATTTTATTTGCTCATTTTTAAAAGATGCCTTTTCCGTAGAATTTATTTTTTCTAGTGAATACTTCATCTGTTGATATATACTGTAGACGATTTGTGAATATTTAAATATATTTACCTATTTGAAAGACGTGCATAACGTCAAATAATAATAAAAAGTACAAATTGTTTAGTCCCTAAGTAAACTTGTAAGATTTTCTCTGCTATTTTTGCTAAATAGGTGCAATTTGGGTACTCGGTGCAATTTGGGTACTGTGACGTTAATATTTTCCGTCCATATATTAGTCTATTTTTATGTTGCATGCGCATCTCTTTCTGGGTGATCTGAATATTTACGTTCTTCAAAACCCATCGAAAAATGCATCATGGGTGGATGCGTTCTAGTGTGGTTTGTATTAAAAATTGAAATTGTCCACTTGTGAATATTTCTTATGGTAGTAAAAAGCTATTTATCAATAATATATTAATTGAACCATATTTATAAGATAGTTTTATCTCAGATATCTGCATTTAAAACTATCACCTGCTGTACATCACGAAATATTAAACAAACGTATGTTCGAACATCAACAATGACATTTTCTTCCAATCAGAGAACAAATCAGCGACAACGCTCTCGCTGTTACCATAGTTTAGCATCGTTATCAATTCATAAAGGTCAAATTCGAAAATATTATCGACTGTGTCTTCAAAAACGCGTTTGCCCATACAATGATAATACTGAGAAATATGGTCTGACAGTGTCCTATAATCACACACACCTAGTTCAAATGTAAGCTTGAACTATAATACTCAAATTTCTTCCTATTCTGGTAGCGCAATTTAAGCTGTTATTATGAATAAACTGTTTATATCCAAATCAGGTTATGATGTGATCCATGCTTGTCACTATTTTTTCACTGCAAACCTTTCCTTTGCCAGTTACCATATTTCATAGATTGTCATTCAAAAGGGGCCAAACTAACGTCCTCTTCTACAGTTTAATGTAAAAAATGCCGAAAAGCCATCAGGAAGTTGATGAAAGATTGTTGCATATTTTTTTAATCGTTTTTTAAATATAAGAATCTTGCTTATTATTGAAAGCTACGATAGTATTTTATAGAAAACCGTTTTTACTTAAACGACATATTGAACAAATTAAATGCTCGCGGGAAGCTGTTTTTTGTTATGTCTTAAGTACTTCAGATTCTCAAAACTGAAATTAAACATTCAAATACTTCCATTCTTACTACCTGTATTGATAAATTGGTGATACATGTAGATGAACATGACGCAACATTCTTAACATCACAAAAAAAAAATAAAAACAACACTTTATTAATTTCATGCGTCCTAAGGAGCTTTTCTAGATTTACCATCATCAGGAACGCTCAAAACCGAATATTTGAATGACAAGGATATATAGGAACCGAAACAGTTAAAGAGCTGTATGACCAAGAAATGCCCTAAATAATAGCCAAATCTATCTAAGGTAAACTTTGCTTGAAGGAGATTTCACGAGATTCAAACTCTGCATGTGTGGCTACAGGAATCTTTGCACATTGCCAAACTCGTAAGGTTAGACATATGATACATTTACAACCCGATATTGTATGATGACTTTACCTTACTATCTCGTATCTAGTAGCATGTTTAAGATAGTATTGTTTGACAAAATATTTAAGGGATGATCAGGTTTTAAATATCAATTTTACAATAAACAATTTATTTGGCATCGTCTTGTTTGGGAGAAAAAAGTTTTAAAAACTAGGACACTTTTTCATTGCTTGCAAACATGGCCGTTATATTCGTTAATTTGATACAACGCTCGCATAAAATTCGAATATTACGGTCCAAGCCATGGGAAAATTTATAACAAAATATGGCTTGAATGAATTATTTCTTTAATGAAATATCAATAAAAGATATTATAAACACTTCATATTACAAATATCGATCCCACTGCCGTTATGTTCTATCTTATCTGATGTTTTTATCACTTGCATGTTTGCAATATATAATTAATGTACAAGGCGATCAGATGTAGTGTTTCTGTTTTAGTCTACTGTTCACGGTAAAACAAAATGCATCTTTTAAATGAGTGAACGTCCTTGTTTGTCGCTTAGGCATTCAAATGTGAAAAATGACACATATTTTATTTTCGCCTCACTAAATATTTATTATTCATTTGCACAAAAAAATGAAAGTATGAATTTTATAATTTTCTGAAACATGTTTACCTGTAGGATAATGTTCCCAAACTGTAGATTGATATTTTACCTCTTCCAAATTGGAGACTATTCTCTTAATAAATCCATTCAGAGAAAAACAAAGTAGTGTGTACTTTAAGAAAATGGAATCATCTAAGGAGAATATAAAAATAAGGATATGTGGTATGATTGCCAATGAGACAACTATCCACCAAAGTTCAAATGAAGTGGATGTAAGCAATTATAGGCAACCGTATCAGATCGATACAAAGCAGAAAAACATCTAACAAAAACACAGATCGGACGTGGAAAGGAATTTATACATCCCTCACAACAAAAAGGACACAACGCATCTAAGACTGAAATATCAATCAGTACACATCCAACATCCATTGAATTTAGTACAAAGACTTCATTAACAGTCAGATAAAAAACATGACCTTGTGCAATGCCAAAATATAGGTACATATGTGCATACCAATAATATTAAGTATGGTTTTAATTTACTGATATCAAAATCAATATTTATACCAATAAAATAATATTCAAAGATATAATTACAGTGTTGAATTGGTAACCTTTTAAAATAAAATAAGTTTATTCAAAGGGTTGATAAATTTACCCGGATAGTATCTAAATTTTCGGGCTAGGTAAACAACATCACCGTAAAAATTAAGATGTGCTATTCCATTTGAAATATTAAATTTTATACGGGTACAGCCAAACTTCCAAACCAAATCTTTTCGATTGAAGAAATTAGGAAAGGTTTTTAGTAATGTGTAGTAACGAAATCCCTGACTTAATAATTTACCAGTAATACATAGAATACGCTTATAGAAATCCAAAACTTCACTACAGACACGGGCATAGCGAATGAGTTGGGATATATAAACACCATAAGACGATGGCAAAAAAACATCACCGTCCAAAAAAGGAAAATTACCAATAGTGAAAGAAAAATCGTCCCTTTATTGGTAAATGTTTGTGTAGTCAAAATATTCCAATTCATTCTTATTTGTCATTTATACACACATTTATGATTTAGGAATGTAAAATATATAACATGTGATTGAAAAATCAATCAAATTCACCGATGCGCTACGCCAATAGTTTAAATGATGCGTTTTTTTAAATACAAATGAATGATACAGTACTCACCTTCGTCTAGTGCTCGAGAACAAAAAATTGGTCAGCCAATTATTTTCATATTCGAATTCTGTATGTACTTATTGTCGGATGCATATTACATTTACAATAAAAGATTTTGAGGTGGGATCAAAACCTCTAAGAACCAAAATTAAAATAAAGATAAATAAGAAATATATATATTTAATAAGTACCGGATCGTATCTGTTTTTCAGAGTTGCCGCCCTTAACACAAATACAGTTCATGATAGGTGATCTGGGTTACTTGTATTCTCCAGACTTAGGTAATAGTTTAGATAAGATCGTGAAAACATACCTTGTAGACGTTATGAGTGAACGTTCTTTTTTACTTGATAAAATTTCCAATGTATAATACCTTGAACTTTGTGCGAACGTTTTTAGTTTCAAGATTGAAATTTTTAATCTTTTATGGACGAAAGATTCCCAATTATATATGCATATGAAATTGTTACTGTAATGTACTTTTACGAAATAACCAATGTATTATGATATTTTAGCGTTAATGTATTTATTAGACTTTTAAATATTTGCAAGCATCTTGTACCATTTTTATTACAATCATATAATGTTGTTTGTAAATACTACGATGTCTTTTTTGATGACGCAGGTGTCAGTACCCCGCTAGCGCTTGCCCCCCCCCCCCCCCAATAGTTGACAGAAAAATTTCGATAGGAACCAAGAATCCCATTAACACAGTGCATGTATTATTTGTATAAGAATAATAAGCAGTCCTGCTTCCTTAGTAGCATCTGTTGTGCTGTTCATATAATGTAACATTCTTCAACTTACGGTGAATAGAAATCTGATTATGAATCGTAACCGATGATAAGATCAAGGCAAACACAGTTGATCAGCAAAAACCTAACTGATATTTTGTTTGTTCCATTGAAAGACTCAACGTAAAAATACACAAGTCAAAAACGATGTTATTTTCAACTTTGGCCTCAGACTAGAAATATATAAAAAGACCTTTGAAAATAGTTCTAGCGTCATATGAAATAAAGGGAAAAGCAGTTTTTTTCACATTGCTTTTAGAAGTATGCCCTTTAGCATTGGTATTTGGAAATTCGAATTCGTTAAGTAAGTTATCCCACACAGTGATCAATAAAATAGATTAATAAATCAGTCAAGCGTTATATTAATGCACTCAAATAAAAGAAAATGCATGTGAAGCAAGTCATTAAGTTAATAGCTTTAGGGTATAAATTAACCCATTCTTTCAGGTTACTAGTTTTATATGTAAATATTAAAGTATGGATGTTCTGCATACAAAATTGCACAATACATTATTGAATTTCGTTTAATTTACCACATCCCTTATCGTGTAAATTAGGTGCACCCATGTTAATTTCATAATACAATTCAGATGCGCGGACTTATATCATCATGTTATCAATTCAAATGAAAAAGACGGTTATGTAAATTCCATTATTTTTAGAGTTTTATTAAAAACTTATATTAAGGATGACGTAAAAAGTAAATCAACTGATTTGTCAAATATTACCATCTGACATTTGATGTAGCGTATATTCAAAATAAATAGGGGAGGACTTAATTCCACTATGTTTACTTATGCAAGATTAAGTATTGAACTGCATATAGTCGTGTAAATTACGTAAAAATTGCAAAAACTTAAGAAGTCCTATATATTTTCGTGTTAAATACTTTTTTTTTTTTGCATTTGTAATACTTGTGATTATGTTAAATTACGGTTGAAGATAAGATATTTTGAACAGTGGGCTACAAAACGTGTCACATTTATCAATTGACAGGAAAGAATTTAATCAAAGTACATTCAATGTTAGGTCTGAAAGAGAGGCAAAAGATACCAAAGGGACATTCAAACTCACATGTAGAAAATGAACTGAAAACGCATCTAACCATCGCTTTTGTATTTGGTTTTATTTTCTATATAACATTGAAGAAAAGTGCCTATCAACCATATTCACTTTGGAGAGGATTTTGTATGTCATAAAAAATTTCTCTAAAACATATATTTCAACTAAAATTACACAAATATTAATATCAATAACTATAGGACTTCACATTATAAACATAAAATAGTATGTTCTATTTATGGTTACATTTTTAGACTTAATATAGCTTGGTGAAGACAGGACACTTGATCTTATTAGTGTTTTATGTAGTCCTCTTGTTATTTAGTATTCATTTTAAAGTAATTTTGAGGTGAAATGTTTGATTTTTAGAGAAAAAACGCTGAAAACTGGAAATGAAGAAAATCTCAGTTGTTAATGTTGACAAGTTTTTAAATGTGATCTTTATAGAAAATAGAACATACTATTTTATGTTTATAATGTGAAGTCCTGTAGTTATTGATATTAATATTTGTGTAATTTTAGTTGAAATATATGTTTTAGAGAGAAAAACGCTGAAAACTGGAAATGATGAAATGCGCGGTTATTTATGGTTAAAACATTTGAAGTGGGACCTTTATAGAAAATAGAACATACCATATTATGTTAATGTTCCGGACCATATGAGTATTTGGACCATACGCGTATAGTCATGGCCATATGCGTATACCCATATGGTCGGACCATATGAGTATTGTACTAGTTTGGTTATTAACGGGCCGGCCCATATGAATATAGAGACCATATAGGTATTTCATCATTTATCTTGTCGACTTTTTCGTCTGCAAGTGAAACCACAGGCGTTTTTGGAATGGACCTGTTTTCTAAGTGCTTAAAAATTATTATTTCTGAAACAAAATTTCTTATAATCTGAAGATATTCCAAATCGGTTTACAAAAATCCGCAGGTGTTTATCTTTTGAAACAAAAAAGTATGTCTATCCAAAGGATAGAAATGTACAAGAAACTGAAATTTTTAGTAAATGTCTAAAATTTCGACCCCATTTATCTCTAAATTTAGCACATGCAGGTATATGTTTTATTACATATTTGAATAAACTAAGTGAAAAATAGCTTGTATGCAAATTTTCGTTAAAATCGAAACTGTATTGTATGCCTTTAACTAACAATAACACAAAACACTATATTGCAAAATTTATTTAGTTTGCCTTTAATTTGACAAAATGAAATATCAGACGTCAAATGTGAAATTATATGTATGTAATATGTTGATGAATCTATGAATGTAAGAAAGTAAAATCCTTAAATGCTTACCCAACTATACATGACTTTTATATACGCATAAACTTATTATTTGTTTTAATGCTTATATTCTGCCATTGTTTGATTATTGTTGCAATATATGGGGTAGTTGCAATGAAAGTGGAATAAATAAACTTAAATCTGCTAGGATTATAATAGAAGCTGACATAATGACATCCTCTACTTTATTGTTTAATAGTTTAAATTGGTTGAATGTGGAAAAACAATTCAATATCAAAAGGCAATACTTGTATTTAAATCATTAAATGATATGGTTCCTAACTATTTACGAGAAAACTTTCATTTTACTGATAATCAAAATTATAATTTACGTTCAGCTGATGAAAAACTATCAAAACTTCCGAAGCTAAAAACAAAAAAAAACTTTTTATATAGTTTACCAAATAAAATAAAGATGAGTAATACACTTGTATCTTTTAAAACAAAATGGTTCAATTTTTTCATGAAGAAGGCAGATTAATATGCTTTTTCTTTAATATCTATATAAAATTGTATATTGTGTATATATCATTATAATATTGTATGTACTTTATGAATATGTTATTATTATTTTGAGGACTCTCAGGAAGATTAGTTTTAACTATATATATAATGGGATTATCCTCTCGAAATAGAGATTATTTATTTTATTTATTTATTTATTTACATTCCAAAAAGTGTACATTTTTTTCAGGTTGTCAAGTTAAAAATGTCGCAATGTATCAAAATCCTGCAAAAGATCCACTCCAAAGAGATACATGTAGATGCACTTGGAAAAGCGAAGCAGTTTGCATTATTCAGCATTGCTCGTCCACACATGAGGAGTTTCCATTCATCATGGTTTTGTTTCTTCATGGCTTTCACTTCATGGTTTGGTATCCAACCTTTGCTACCTACAATCAGGAAAGAGCTTGGTTTATCGAAATTGGACTTGGCTAACTCTGGTATAGCAAGCGTAGCCGCCACTATAGCTGTTCGTGTCATAATCGGACCTCTTTGTGACAGATTTGGACCAAGAAGAACCATGGCGGGTTTACTTATGGCTGGAGCTGTTCCTATGGCACTATCTGGTTTAATCAAAGATGGAACTGGTCTTATCGTTCTGCGACTTTTTATCGGCGTTCTTGGAGGGACATTTGTACCTTGTCAGTTTTGGACAAGCGCTATGTTCAGTCCTAAGATTGTTGGTACGGCAAACGCGATGGTTGGTGGATGGGGCAACCTTGGTGGTGGTTTCACATTCTTACTAATGCCCGGATTGTTCCAGTTAATGAAAGCCTTAGGAACAGATGCATTTCTCGCATGGAAACTTGCAGTTGTGGTTCCTGCTGTTATCTGTGTAATTTTAGGTAGATATACACTTATATAGATGACTGTGTTTTGGAGGAGAAGAGGGGTCGTCGTTGGGCTGCTATTACATTAACTCATACCCCATGCATCCTTTCATTTATTTTACTTCAGAAAATAAAAAGAAAGTGCAAAATAACATGCAAAGTAAAAATGTCAGGAATGCAAAGATAAAACTCATTCTGTAATCATTTATTTAAAAATATGTTTGAAGAACAGTTTGAAATTCTTATTGAAATGCAAAAATTGAAGGTATGAAAATACCATATACTACTGTATCCATGTATTTATACCGCAAATATATTGGATATTTGAATTACCAAAATGAGTATTATGCATCGTAAAAAAAAACACCTATAGAAATCTTAGGTTTAAACATGTACATGTGTGTGTGTATATTTGACTTTACTTTCTACATTTCTTACAGGTATCTCAATTTTATTCACAACAGACGATTGTCCACAAGGTCACTGGTCGAACAGAAAACTACCAGAAACTACCATAAAAATTAGCAAAGATAAAAATGATCAAAACGAAAAGGGTGTCCCAAATTTAGGATTCCAACCCGACTTACCATTTAACGAAAAACAGAACGAAGGTACATTATAGTTGTTCATTATGAAATATGTTATAATGTCAATAGATTAACGACTATCTTCACGGTTAACTGCATTCTAAATCAATTTTCGTAAAGCACCACAAGAATTATAACAGAAACAACTCAGTGTATATAAAGTGCGAATGCAGATAGTTCATTTTCACTGTCATATGCGAGTATTATACTATTGTAGAATAAAGGATGATGGGAAAACTGTGTTTGTTTACGTTTTGAACATACAAAATAATTGATTTAAATGTATTTTTTAACACAATTTCATTAGAATATGACTTTACAATGTACAATGATATGATTAAAGTCCAAAAATATGCTATTAAAGCAACATAATAATCTAGGATAAAGTTATAGAAAGCGATTCATTTTGGCATTTGGTGCGATGCATTATCACTGTTAGTGCGATCATTTCTGATGTGGAATTTATCTAGGTGCGATGGATTTTCATTGTGGTATTATGTGATAATAAGACATTTAAAAACTGACAATATTCATTTGATTTAAATATTGATGATATTTACAATTTAAGAATCCAAACTTCTCGTACATGTTTAACCACCATACAGTTGATTGCGGACGTTGCGCGTTTTTAAGCGATAAAGAACAAGCTGAGAGAAGCCGATATTACATATCAAAAATATTCTGAGTTATGTACAAATGTGTATACAAAACTATATTATACACGTTGTATGCATGTAAAGTCATTAATATCAATTAGAGAATTCGAATTTTAACTTGAACTTTACTTACTGAATGATAAACGCAGGTATGTTTACAACTCGCTTAAAAATGCTTCAAAAATGCAAACATTAAATAACTTTAAATAACAACTGATTTATGTGCAGGTGAGTGAGCGTATCTTCCACCTGCATATACCACACATACCTAATTCATTGTAATTATTATGATTTTCTGAAAAAAGTTATCAGTTTATGAAATTTTTTGTAACGACTTAACTATTTGACATTTCTAACATTTCATATTGAAAATTAACATGATTAAAGCACCTAAATTTTATGTATGTTTAATGTGAGACCAAATGGAACCAACACCTCGGGAGCACCCGATTACAATCCAGTTTCTGAGAGATTTTGCCAAACAAAACTCTACAAATATAGTATTTCGATCCTGAGGTAAAGGTCACAAGAAGATCATGATGATATGCAAAATATAACAACGGTTTTCTTATTCGTTGTGACTATTTTAAAAAGACGTGTGTATAAATCGCTTGTAAATATCGCGAAGCAAAGATTCTGTGTAACACAAACTTGAATTAACTATAAATAAAAGCATGGTATGTTGACTCAAAAACTAAATGTGACCGTGTGTTGAATGATTTTTGTTGTTGTTTAGATTAATAAATGGGTGTTCATAATTTATAAGAAAATAATCAATGCTGTCAGGAAGCAATAAACTTTGTTTTCCTAAACATACATGTTATAACTACTGTTACGGCCATAAGTCTTTGAAGAAAAAATATTTGAACGGTCTATCTACCAACCTCGCTTCGCCCCACAGCAACGTCCGAAATCAATTGTACGGTGGAGATACCAGTGATATAGAACCATTAAAACTTGTAATAAATAAACTGTTCTCAATAGGTCATTGTAATTTAAAAATTGCGTATTCTTTGTACAAATGTATGTCCAAGATATACGCACTGATGAAGTTGCATCGATACGTGATGTATAGCTCCTTGGATTAAAACAGAAAGTGAAGTGAAAACGTAACCAGTCACTCAAGTGTAAAATGTAGGTCGTTACATGTGAACGCTCTTCATTATCCAAGGTGCATAATGATTCATTAATGACGTTTCATTAGTATGTAATGTATAGTACACTAGATATAGACCGAAAACCAAAACTTTAGCATAGTTTTCGGTGGCCGATAATGTACTTAACTGTGCAAAGTATATGTATTCAATAATGAAATGTCAATGGAATGGATAAGTTTAACCCTTAATGTATATCCTTATGAGTTATAAAAAAAATTGAATTGAATATTTTTAGCAATAAATGGTCTTATTTTCACGGAATTGTAATTCGTTAGGCTTTCACTCACAAAGTAAGCATTATCAAATCGTTCTGACTTTGTCTAGTTTGTCAGTGAGTCGGCTGACCTAACACTGTATTTGATGAAAATGATAAAGAAACCTACAGTGAAAATGCACCGCATATACAATAGAAATAAATCGCCCCTACAGTGAAAATGAAAGTATTGTATCATTATTCGATAGTAAACATGAATCGCATAACAAAAGCAGCATAGTGGAATTTTACTCAATATCAACAAACTGAATAACAAAACCTGTTTAAAGTTATACAACATTAATGATTATGTTAAAATGTATATTTTTCTGACAATAAAACTTTACTGCTGCTTTTAAATCTCATACACGCTCTTTCGTGAAATATTCTTAATATTTACTTATTTGTGTAACGTTTTCACACCTTGATCGCTGTATGAGCGATATAAACCCGTCTGCATATCTAACATATATTACAAGTTTATTAAAACAATCCATTTGATATATTATTTATTATTTTATTTCAAAATTATAATTTTTTCGTCTGTTTATTTATCATTCTACATTAGAAATCTATGGCATATACAGTGAAAATGGTATTTCAGGATCCGCACTTTATATACACTGCAACTGTTAAAAAGAGGGAGAAAATATTTACGGGGTAATCAAAATCCAAAAATCGAATAAAAACAGACAACACAATGAACAAGGAAAAAAACGACGAAAAGACAAACAACAGTCCACAAAAATTTAACAGAAAACTATAGATGGAGTAACAGGAAACTAACCAAAACGCGGGGTGCTCTGGAATTGAAAGCAGTTTCTGTTCCAATAGTGCCACCCGTCGTGTTACGCATTGCAATTAAAAATTCGGTGATGTCACAATCGAAGAAAAAAAGATGACGGGATTGCGACAACGACAAGTGTAACATAAAATACGTCGTTATATGCGTTTCATAAAGCAAAGGATTGTATTCCTTAACTTGTGTTTGATATCAGTTTTTTTTTTGCTCTTTACCCTAAAACAATTTTGGATTTCCTTTATTTTTGGTTTCGAAAACCCCGAATGAAAAAGCCGTATATCGTGCATCCAACTTAATTCAGTATCGTGTATTTGTATATCATACAACTAAATGATAATAGAAAAAAAAAACAGTTTTACATAGTAAATATCATTTACACAGTAAATATCATTTACACCTGTTGTTCATTTAAATAATAAATTGATTACATGTAACAATCTTTATTTACAAATAAGTCACTGCGATTGAAGTAATATTAGTGCAGGACTGTAAGTTACTTTTGATTCTCCTTTTCAAAGTTTACTAATGTGTATTACATCAAAACTGTATGCAAAACACATTTATACACTTAAGGAACTATGTTACAATAGATGATTTCTAATATTTTATCGTTTTCAGCTACAAAAGAAACAAAAGTTGAAATTACAAAAACAAAAGACCTTTCGGAAAAGAAAGCAGAAGACTCGGAAGAGAAGGGCGGGAAATGTACATTCGATGGATGCTGTAAAGTTGTAACGGTGGTTATTCTTATGCTGCAGTATGGGATGTGCTTTGGAGTGGAGATTGCCGTAAATACAGTCATGAATCTATATCTACTATACCGATTCAAAAAAGCCGATTGTGTGGAGGGTAACGTTCCCTTTTTTAACTCTTCAAACATGACGACTGCAATGGTGCAAGAGGAAAACGAAAACGAATGTAGTATTTTGAACCAAGACACAGCAAGTTTAATTGCATCCTTGTTCGGGCTTATGAATCTTTTTGCAAGAGCTCTTGGTGGAATGTATTCAGACGTTTTGAGAAAATATTTGAGTCTATCAGGTCGTCTTATTGCTCATTTTACATGCTTAGTTGCTGAGGGCATCATGCTGGTTATATTTAGCCAGATAAACAGTATTTCCTCTGCCATTGGTGTAATGGTTCTGTTCAGTACCTGCGTACAGATGACAGAGGGGACTACATATGCTATTGTTCCGTATGTTTCCACAAAGCGAATCGGTATAGTGGCTGGATTAGTCGGTGCGGGTGGAAATGCTGGCGCCCTGATTTGGAATACAATATGGCGGCAATATGTTGAAACCGATCCAAGTGGATGGTTTTGGCTCTTAGGTATCATCGTTTTATGTGGTAGTATTTTGACATTTTTCATACAAATATCTGGCGAAAGCATTTGGCATTGGTGTCTACGTTGTAAATCAAACAAAGACAAGTATGAAATGTAAACATACCTCATTTACAAACAAGTTTAATAATCGTGTTATTTTTACTACATGTTATGAGAGATGTCTTATAACATCTTAGTAATAATTCTACTTTTGTAGTTACTATATTAAACATTCGTGAATTATCATGAAGATAGCATATACGTTTTGTTTAAACTAGTTTAAATTTGAATGTTAATAACACTTGGTAATTTGTTTAGGTCTCTGTACCAGCTTGATTAAATAATACATTAATGTGAGTACAAAGTTGTCTTTTATAAATCATTTGGTCATTACACTTACAACAAACCCTATTATCGGCTATCGATACAGCCGGTACAATATGATAATCCGATTCATGTTCCTGATATGGCAAGCCGTTTTTATATTTATTCACTTTCAAGATATCTTATTAAGTTAAATCAGATATCTTTATAATTAAATAAGATATCTTATAAATGAATTGAGATATCTTGATAATTAAATAAGATATCTTATTAAATTGGTTATAAAGATATCTTATTAAATTGGTTATAAAGATATCTTATTTAACATATAAGATATCTTATTTAGTTAATAAGATATCTTATTTAGTTTAAAAGATATCTTATTAAGTTTATAAGATATCTTATAAACTATATAAGATATCTTTTATATAGTTTCTCATAAAGATATCTTATAAACTTAATAAGATATCTTTTAAACTAAATAAGATATCTTATTAACTAAATAAGATATCTTCCTTTCTTTTTAAGAATTGAAATAAAGTATCCCTTTATGTTGGAAAAATGATTGACCAATCATAAAATCAATAGCAATTCAGATCGAGATTGCTAATTTGTATCTGTATCTGTATTATAGGTTCTGCCAGTGTAGGCACACCTGCAATGGAGTAGAATAAAAAATTAAGTGTCCTTCACCACTCACTAGACAATAATATATCAATAAAAATGACTTCTGTTTCCCCACCGTTATGTAAAACTAATATTTAATTTCACAATAAAAAGAGAAAATTATCTTTCATTTTAATTCGCATGCACCCATATAATAACCAAAATTTCTAATTGGTTAACAACGGTCTATTTGATTTGATTACAACTGATGATACCTGTGGATATTCCTACCCTGATCATCCGCATTATGTCAAAATAATTACTGTGCACTTAAGCTTTATTTCAATACTTGTTTTCTCCATTTTTGTTATCAATTAAGCCTTAAATTTTATTGGCAAACATTTATTTACGGCTGTATTAAATGGAAGTGCTTGTTGTTGACATACAATTCCTTGCTCCCTGTCAATATGAATGAAATGTGTTTAATGTGCTTCAAGCAGGAAAAATTGCAATGATATGAAAATAAAAGATTACTACCAGCAAAGAAAATCCCAATAAAAAAACAGGGACATTTCTTTTGTCCTTTTTTCTAGGTAATCCTGCTTTTAATATCAAAAAGAGTTAATTACAATTGTTTATTGTTTTGTAGATTCTTATTTAATATATGAAATATATATAAGATATCTTATTTAGTTTATCAGATATCTTATTTAATATATAAGATATCTTATTTGATATATTAGATATCTTATTTGTTAAACAAGATATCTTATTTAATATATAAGATATCTTATTTAGTAATTAAGATATCTTGTTTAATAATTAAGATATCTTATTTAATAAATGAGATATCTTATTTAATATATAAGATATCTTATTTAATATATAAGATATCTTATTTAATATATAAGATATCTTATTTAATATATAAGATATCTTATTTAAAAATTAAGATATCTTAAGATATCTTATTTAATAATTAAGATATCTTATTTAATAATTAAGATATCTTATTTAATAAATGAGATATCTTATTTAATATATAAGATATCTTAATTACTGTAAAAGATATTTTATTTGAAATGAAATATATCTATATAAGTCTCACTTAAAATGTATTTCCAATCTCATTTCAATCTGTTTTCTGTTTATCTAGAAATAAGAATTTACGAAATTATTATCAAGAATTAAAATATTTGATGAAATTCCAGTTGTTTTTTTTGGGTTTTTTTTGGGGGGGGGATTTCTTTGATAAATTCAAAATGTTCTTCCTTTCAGAATTCGGCAGCCAGAAATAGTAACAGGAATGAGACTTAGTCCACAAACTGCCTTGATAAAAAAACTAGGGGATGTTTCAAATTCTTTAAAGCAGTCACTTGTGCTGGCATGGTCATATTTGATCTACATTTTTTATAAACATACTTTATATACATTTAGCCATACCTCTCTTTTATTCTATCCAAATATGACAAAAACGTTTTGTAAGCTTACGGTTATTATATTTTAATGGTGTTTTTCATCATGATCTTTCCTTAATTATCACTTGCATCAAATTCAACAGATTTTATATACAGTAACTGTTTTTTTTAGATTATATGTCATATTTCAAATAGCTTGAAAAAAAGCCAAATCACAAAAATACCGAACTCCGAGGAAAATTCAAAACGGAAAGTCCCTAATCAAATGGCAAAATCAAAAGCTCAAACACATCAAACATAAACTATACAAGAGAGCTCAAGAACCATACTTTAGGACGCCTTTTATTCTGATTGCAAAAGTTAATATACACTTTTTGAAACAGCTAACGTGTCTGTAGCGCGATTAATCTCAATGCCAAGAATTAATTCAGGTCGCAGTTCGTCATTTCTAATACACCCATATGGGGAAAAAGGGGGGGGGGGGGGGTAGGAAGGGTCCTGATCCCGAAATCCCGGGCTTAAAAACATGGAATCCCGAGGTCCCGAATTTAAAAAAATTTAAATCCCGACATCCCGAATATGGAAAAAAGAATTCCCGGATCCCGAAAGGATCAATCCCGAAATCCCGAGCTTAAAACACCCGATCCCGGAGTCCCGATAAAGGTCCTACCCCCCCCCCCCATATGCTTTCTGGATATTAACATCTCGAATATTTATTAATAACCGACTCTTCTCAACTGCCATTTTGAAAGTGCGATCACATGATCTATTTACTGCCTCGTAGTTCAAGAGGGAGCGTTCATTGTTGAATTTATTTACTAATGCTATTTTAAATAAAATATCTTATATAGTTAATAAGATATCTGATAAACTAAATAAGATATCTTATTAACTATATAAGATATCTGATAAATCAATCATATAAGATATCTTGTATAACTAATAAGATATCTTATATAGTTAATAAGATATCTTATAAAGTAAATAAGATATCTTATATACTTTTAAAGATATCTTATAAACTATACAAGATATCTCATAAAGTATTTGTTTAAAAGATATCTTTAAAAAGATATAAGATATCTTATAAACTATACAAGATATCTTTAAAAGTTAATAAGATATCTTATAAAATAAATAAGATATCTTATTAGATTCAAATTAAATAAGATATCTTATAAACATTAGAAGATATCTTATATACTTTATAAGATATCTAGATATCTTGAAATTGAATAAATATAAAAACGGCTTGCCATATCCTGATTGCCATTTAAAACAATTGTTTTTGCTATCGCTTACAGCAGATTTTTATCGGCGCTTCCGATCGTTATTGCAATACAATGAGTTTTGCAATCGTTATATATGCACCTGCAGTGCCGATATTCGGTGATAGGGTATGCACAATACGTTTTCAACTAAATTTATGTAGTGGGCTCCCCTTACCTTTGATCTATTGTTTACCCTGAAACGTTTGTCGTTCATACCATGGAAGTATTATGTCAATATAATACTTCCATGTTCATACAAAAAACGATATCTTATGTAGACAGAATTACCATTAAAATCCGCAAGTGTGATTTGTGTAAAGACAGATGGTTTTCTCAACTTCTCATGGTGATGAGTCGTCTGTTTGGCTGTGCGGGACATATATTGTTGGAATGGAGTCGTGAAATGCAATTTCATCGTTTACCGTACTCTCTGCACGTTGAATCATTCTCGCATTAACACTCTTTTTTTGGGGGCCCTTTATAGGTGTTACAAGGCCTGACCTAATCCAAAAATCATTCGCTTCCTAATAAGCTGTCCGAATTTCCTGACCCCCATCTCTGTGGTTGACCCACTTTGCAGTGTGTAGTTATTTGATGATGGATTTGTTATGGAAAATCGTTACATGAGGAATATGTCCCCACTATATATGAGATTATATCTTACTTCACATTCAGTAATGTCATGCATGTATATAGGAACGAATCAGCCGATTGTTTTTAGGAAAACATGTGGCTTAAACTAAAGAATATACACCTCAGATTGCAAAGAGTGTTCTTGCATTTGGTTGATTGTTGTTTTTAGAGTTGTGTGCTTAAATGCCAATAAAAGATATTTCATGTGCGAATGAATTTATATTGACGAAAATGAATTAGCAATAAATTCGTTTCGAAAAAGAGGCGGAATAAACCAAAAAGAGAATCAAACATCATAAGTCGTTGAGAGACCAAAAAAAAAAATATAGTATAAAAAAAACAACGAAAAACGACAAAAAAAACACAGTCTATTGAGCATTACATATAAACCAAAAACAACTGAGCAACACGAACCTCAAATAAGACCGGGTGTGATATCATGTGCTCCTAAAGGGTAAGCATATCCTGATACACACGTGGTACGCGTCGTGTTGCTAATGGTAAATACAAATTCGGTGTTAAAGTCTCATTCGGGGATGTCACAATCGAGGAAAAGAGGACAAGAGAAATGGTACATATCCGTTGTTATCTGTTATACAGATATACCGTAACGGTCAAATCATGATGGTGCCCATAAAACTTCAATGACTTTAAATTTTCGATTTGCAATATTTGGTTAAATAGCTTCCTTATAAGCAGCAACATACTGTCAAGGAAATCATGATAGGACATACAAGCTCGTATCAACTAGGAGATATATACTCCACATGCAGGCGCTGATGGAATGTTGATACATAGAAATTGAAGTTACAATAAGAAAGCTGAAATTATCTTTCTTGTCGTAAAGTGATGTTCCCAACCGACTCTCAATATCAATTTCTAGATGTAAGTCAAAATATCAGGCAGATTAATTTGTATCTGCGGTATCCTATACTTAAAGTTCGAAGGATTGGTCAGTTCAACATAGACACCAAATAATTATTTAGTGAGAGAATATCATCTATAAAGCGGAACGTGAAGTTACAGGATAATGCGAGCTTCTATTCATTTTTCCTGAAAAGCTCCAGTATGAAATCTGTCTCATACGAATAAAGAAACAA